ATAGACTTTGTATGCATCTGCGGTATACGCGAACTCCTGATTTATAAACTTTAATTATGATTTTCTAACACAAAATGGTCCATACATTGAATTTCAATTTTAATCGGGAAAAGTTTAAATGAGTTTTCTATTGCATGCAACACCGCCCTGTGTCTCGTGTTTGCGTTGTGTAATATTGAACTTTTTATTCCAATTAATAAATTTTGCAATGTAAATTCGGCGATTAATAATAATCGTGCGTGTTTTACAACTTGTAAACGTAATCGAAAACTTAGTTTATTTATTCCTACCCTAAGTTGAATTTGGCCCTTAAACTTCTGTTCGTCTATACTTGTACCTATAGACAACATATATACTTTTTTTACGATACAGAAAAAAATAATGTATTTAACTTCATTATTTTACATCTTTTACACAGACAGACAGGCACGTGATAAAAATCAGTGTTCGATGAATTGTTTACGGATAACACGTCGAATACCGGGCTCTCTATATCTCGAAAAAAATACCTCAGAATACTTGAACTTGAAAGTTAAAAAGAATTCATCCCCTTCCGGTTATACCGATAGTTGATGCCAAAGTACGGAACGGAACACCCTATATATTTTTCATTTTTAAATTCTATCATTGAATAAAGGTTTCTATTCAATGATTCTATGTAAAATTCTATATACATCTCATGTATAATGTCCTATACTTACTTATATTTAGCAGTTTTCGATACATTTTAATAATATTCACACCCCTATTTTAATTACTATGTGTGTCTTATTAAGTACAAAAAATTAGGGCAACTTTACATCGTCGGTTCCTAACATTTTCGTTTTGAAAATATTCGCATTAACTTTTTTTCTATTGTAAAAATGATATTAAGTACCTACAGTTTGGTAAGAAAAAATGGCATTTCTTAAGGGCTTTTTCACACCCATGACGACGAATCATGGCCTACTAACAAACATTATTAATTCTGGAAAGATTTAGTCTTATAGGAACTACATCTCGAACTAGGTACATTCTTGCAAAAGTGTTCAAGTTCTCCAAGAAAATTATTAGGAAACTTGCAAGGGAGGTTTCTACGTGGGGTAAACCACAGGTGAAACTTGGTGTACATATTATGTTGGGGAAATCCTCGGGGAAATCCATGACATCTTAATGAAATCCGTAAAATCTTATGAAATCATTGTGAAATCAGAGGTGAGATCCATGAAATCTTGAATACGAGAAATTTGTTGCGCTTGGGGTCATCCTCTACAACAAACAATCTGAGGTCAAAAAATTTGTCTTACCTGACAACTAAATTTTAATGAAACCCCTAAGTCAAAAAAATTATAACAATACTCTCGGAGTTTAATTGAAAAGTGACATTTACTTATTAAATCATTTGAGGGGAAAATGGCGGTTCCATTAAAGAATGAATTCAGGGCTGGGAAAAACGGAAACTTCTAGATATGATGAAAATATTACCTTGCTAGCAAAGAAAAATATCAAAAATAATAAAGTTTTTATTAATTTTTGAATTTAAATATGTACCTATTAAGCTTGCTCGTGAAGGACTGCAGCTCTGATGCTAGAGTTATGACTGGCATCGTCTAATAAAAGCTCGCGCGAGTTGGCGGCTGGAAAATGAACCGATCTTCAGAATTTAATGTACCAAAACTCGTTTCCATTGTATCGTCATTGTTTTTGGAATATCCGGCTCCGAAAAATCACTTGCCAACTTCACGCCAGCCCCGGAACAATCTTGAATAAATCCCAAAACGATTATGTAATGTACTTTAAAATGAAATCTACCTCAATGTATCAAAATTTGTTTCCATTGTACCCATTCCGTTTTCAGAAAATCCGGTACCAAAAAATTACGCCGGAGAGCAAGTACGTTTTCTCAAGGGAAACCGGTAGAAATACGCTCGCTTTTATAGTGCCTTTGCTGTGTAGGCACTGAATTGAAATCCAGATACCTTGCTTAATTTTTTGCGGCCAACTTCACTGGACGATAATAACAGATTTTTACTTTGGATTTTGAGAAATTCAGATTTGTTATAGACCGTTAGAATTCTGGCTAGAGTTTTGGACCACCCCTCAATAGTTCTCGAACTTTCTCTGTTTTGCGTTTATAATGACAGTATTCCGATATCAAAAATAGTGCTGGAATGAGTTTCATTCCAACACTATTTTTGGTAATATTTTCCACAACTGACAGATTTTTAAGATTATTTTTTGACGTTTCTCGAAACCAATAGAAATGTTCAATTTCAGTCATTCATATACGTTCTAGCCAATCACAACATTATTATAGTGAGAATAATCTACTTCCCAGCGAGAATTTTTCAATGTACATTGTTTTTAGTGAATGACAACCACATGACAACTATTTTCTTGATCTGACGCGTCTGTCATAAATTTTCAAGAAGCTCGTAAAATGAATCGCAAACGTTTTAGTGAATCATCAGTCGATGAAATAAGTAATATAATCATTGTAAGTAAATGTAAGTGCATTTAAGAATATGTAGGTACCCTAATAAGCAACGCGTCTGTTTGGAAACAATTCCAATTATTTTGCGACGAATTGAGGGGCTATAAATTGGAAGAAACCGCAAAACTAGTCGTTATTTTGAAGGACTAATGGGTTGAATATGCGAAGAAACAGAATGGAGAAGACTATAAAGAAAATCTTAACAGTGATTTTGATTGTAACGTGAAAAAATAATCTATCGAATACCACACGAGAGTTCGATAAATTAGATAATAATTCTCCAGGTCTTTTCTCAAACTTGTTGCCATTTGGCAATAGTCACGAGAGCCCTAAGTTTTCTAAAACCTGTCGAATTATTTTCAATTTATTCTCACTCTCTTGTGATATTATTACAGACAATTCAATGCGATTATTCAATGACATTTGTCAAACTTCCACCAGTAAAATGACCCGAAATTTTGTCGTATTAACCGGAACATTCTTCTTAGTTTGTTAATCAATTTCGACAACCGACTTATCACCACATCTTTTAATTTAATCACTCATAACGAATTAGCTTGGAGCACAAAAGTTCGAATAGAATCAATAGCAAAATGAAAAGCAACTTCCGTAATTTATTTTGACGTTTATTGTTGTCATGGAAATACATTCGCGTGGGTAATTATGCTTAATTTTTCTTTGGATTCATTGAATAGTCCTCCGAATACCATTCGTAGTCGAAGTATTTGTAGATTATTTTTGAGCTGCTGCTCCACTCATGCTAGTTACGCATTTTAATACCACTTGCGCAAGCGCTCGTGGTATTAATCAGCGTAACTAGCATTCGTGACAGCAGCTCAAAAATATTCGACATTCGACTACTTATGGTATTATACAGGGTGTCCCTAAAAGGTCTGTACAACGCGCTACCAGGGGTTCTTGGTATCAAAATAGGACGATTTAACCAACTTACCTCTATCCAAAAGTGCCTCGGTAAGGCGCTATCTACCGCCAAAGATTTAAAAAAAAATCGTTATTTTTATTTTATCGGAAAATGGTTTTGCCGATTAAAATGAAATTCGGGATGTGAATGTCTAATGTAAAAAGGGTCTTTGTGATATCATCGTTTTGATTGTAGTTGCTATGTAGGTGGTAAAATACTGACCATCCACATCTGAAGAGATCTAAAACTTTTTAACTACTATTTTGACGGTTCTGAATTTTTAGACACTGATAGACAGTTTACTTGCAAGCATTTTTTGTCTCTTGATGAATATCGCTATCTGTGATGGTTTACGAAAAAAAAAATAATTTAGGCATGATGAATGGCATGCACCATACATGCGATTGTTCCTAAAAAAATCAGAAGATGGCTGTGAAACAGAGTGACGTAACGTTTGTTTGTTGTTTCTTCAACTTTAACAATTTACGTTTTGCTTGAAGACTTAAAATTTCATTGTTAAAATTGTAATATGGCCTTTCAATACAGTAACGCAGAGTTAACTGATATGCTATTAGTGTTTGGATACAGTCGTGGAAATGGTCGCCAATGCGTTAGGGAGTATATACTCACAGGTTTCCAAATCGTCATAGCCTACTTCTTGCTTGCACTTATGGTTTTTAAGGAACAATCGCATGTATGGTGCATGCCATTCATCATGCCTAAATTTTTTTTTTTTCGTAAACCATCACAGATAGCGATATTCATCAAGAGACAAAAAATGCTTGCAAGTAAACTGTCTATCAGTGTCTAAAAATTCAGAACCGTCAAAATAGTAGTTAAAAAGTTTTAGACCTCTTCAGATGTGGATGGTCAGTATTTTACCACCTACATAGCAACTACAATCAAAACGATGATATCACAAAGACCCTTTTTACATTAGACATTCACATCCGGAATTTCATTTTAATCGGCAAAACCATTTTTCTATTTCGGTGTTACAATGATGATTTTGTACAACTGTTTTCGGCCGAAAACAGTTGCACAAAGACAGTGATTATAGTCGTTTTTTTTTTGGTAACTCATCTCTTAAGTTGGCAGTTACTAGTTAGTACAAGTAGGTACTTCGTTGGGTACTTCCATGATTGAACTTCAAAATGTCAGTCTTACTACGCTGCCAACCTAAAACTTAACGGCATAAAAGTGTTCCCAACATAAAACATGTTAGTTCTAATGTTCCCTATAGTTTCTGATAATGATTTTTTTAATTAAATTAAAGCACCGAAATAGAAAAAATAGTATGGAAAACGCGTGTTACCATGCTTTATTGTAATACTCCTATTTTGCGGACACTCGTGGCTACGCTTCGCGTCGCCACTCGTGCCACAAGATAGTCGTATTACAATAGGTCGCATTGTAACACTTGTCTTTCAATATACTATTTCCGATCAAATAAAAATAACGATTTTTTTTTTAAATCTTTGGCGGTAGATAGCGCCTTACCGAGGCACTTTTGGATAGAGGTAAGTTGGGTTAAATCGTCCTATTTTGATACCAAGAACCCCTGGTAGCGCGTTGTACAGACCTTTTAGGGACACCCTGTATATTATATTTTCTGTATACATGCAGTTGAGGATTTTAGTTGAAAGTGACGTAGGGAATCCTATTGAGGGCCTACGTTCAGCAAGATAGCCATGATTTCAGTGTTGAAGATTGAGTCTTGTGCAATTAGTTTTCTGCTTTGGTTTTTCGCTTCTTCTTACACGCTTCCAACAACTGCGGTTCACGGTTTTTTATCGCATCTTATGTATTGCGGATCAACACGCTTTTGTCCTTTCCCGATATTGTTCTTATAATTTCTGGAGCAATACACATTTTGTAAAAAGTTATTAATATTGGTACCATTTCATGTTCCCAAAAATTGATGTCTATTTCAATCTCCTCCCTGTAGAGTGGAACTGCATCGTTAATATAAACAACAAAATAACATTTGCTCCTCTTGGCAATGTTCAAGGTGCCTTGTACTTGATAGCAATAAGAATGTCTTCTGTTTAAAGATGTTTTGCCATCCTTTAGTTGCAAACAGGTCTTTTTTTTAAACCGTAATATTTTTTCCAAACCAGTTTCCTCCAATTTTGAACATGAATACAGACATTTCACTTCCACGATGGTGTCTGTACCAACAAGACCTATTACAAAAAAAGTTGATTAAACAATTAGCAATTTAAAAAAATACTTACCATCTGGTGATGCTCCTAAAAAACCATAATCTTTATGTATCCACAATCCAGTGTTTGTTACGGTCACATTCTGCTTCTTTTCAAATGCCTTTATTGCCACCGATTCTTTGGCAATGTCATTCTCCGTAGCTTCCGTGCTAAAGATAACGATTTGTTGTACCGCAAAGTTGCCAGGTAAACTCGTCTTTCGTATGATCCACGTTGCACCCAAATTAGTTCTCTTCCCCATATTAAAACGCGAAACAATATTCATTAAACATTCTACTGCATTATTATTCTCATTTTCAATGAGCAAATTAGCTTTTCTTATAAGCTGTTCCAAAGCTCCTGTAAGTATAAATATTAAATAAACAAATAAATTTTTACACAAACTCAGTTTACTTACCACTGATATGATCATACATCGAAGTTGCTCTTAACTGTGGAACTGCGTTGTTCGAGACGTCGTCGCCATTCCCTGCTCTTATTCCGCGCGGTTTTGTGGTTATTTACATTGAAGGTTAGGATCGTTTTGTAAACGAATGAAATTACCTGTAACATTTAGAGTAAATGACGAAATTATCACCCTGAAACTGCTTGATGATGTATCGGGACTTCTGTTCAACATTACAAGTAAGTGATCTATTGTAAGTACAAATAATTTTTTACCTACTTATTAGAGATAATGATAAGTTCACGAATAATTATATAATGGAGTTGATTGTAATAAGTAATGGCTTTATTTCCCTAAATGACGCCTTACACACAATTTATAGGGTGAACCAAGATGGAATGTAAGTACTTATGCTTACAAACATGATAGGGTGACCATATATGAATGCTATACAGTAAGTATCTTTATATACTATTTATGGTGCCATTTACAGATATTTCTCAGTCTCTATCCATAGTTGCAATCTTTAGTTTTAAATTCTTCATTAAATTTGGAATCGCCAATCCATTTTCGAATTGTGGACATGCTGGGCAGAACTATTTGTTTATTTTTAAGAAATTTATAGGCGGGAGATTTATAAAAAAGTTGCAGTGCAAATTCCTTTTCATCGTTTGCCCATTGCCTATTCTTTTTATGCAGTATATCCATTTTTGTCAAAACTCGTGATTGTTTTGATACAAATTTCACACTGCCGATAATATTAGTCAAAGTGGCATTTTGTGTTTTCTTTTTTTGGTTTAATCTTAATCTGGCAATTGTTGATCGTTTATTCTTTAAAAGACGTTTTTGATCTTCCAAAGTCTGCTTCATTTTCTTTGCACGTGGGGTAAGGTCCTGCAACTGTAACTTTCTTTTACACTTCTTGGGAGAGCGCTCTGGCATATTCGTAATGTCTGTAAGCCATTGTTGATGAGATGGTGATATATCAAAGTCGGTTGATTTACTTGCAATTTCTTCCGAAATGTCAGTTGTAGATTTTATGCTTTATGTCTTGATTGGCACTTTGGCAGAAGAACAGACATTTCGCCAAGCTCAGATGTTTGGAGCTTTTCAGATGCAGCAGCAACCGGGGAACTGTTTGAAGAATATTAAGTGGCACTGTCGGTGTTGAACAAATTTGATAGGACTTTGGGATTGCTCCTTTTTTTAACTTTGATTTTAACCGAGGATTAGTGTAATCACTTTCCACGAAATGTTCTGAACAGACAATGTTTTTTGTATAGACTTTGGGGGGGCAGGTCCAATAACTTGATGTTTCCTAAAAAAAAACAGGGTGTTTAATCTCTACCTCTACGCAAAAATCGCATAGTAGGCGTGCAGTTTCAATTTCGACTGAAAGTAATACTAATATAGTCCTTGATTAGCGTCCAGGATTCCTTTAAAAAGTTTTACTACTAAGAACTAAAAAACGTATCGGATATATACACACACACGCACACACGCACCCTCGCACACACCCTCACACACACACACATATATATACATATACGATGCGATAAATGGATTTAGGCTCTTGAACCGTGTAAAAAACTTAATCCTATGGTTACATAGAAAACAACGGTATTTTAATTCTACAGGTGACTTCAGAAAAACTATGTTTCTATAGAAGATTGGGAATAATGTGTTTTGTACTTTTGTAAAAATGTAATGGTAGTGTTTTAGACCAATGCAAGAACCCTTACATAAGTAATTTAAAGAAATAGTGGTACATCTTCATGTTGTTTGCCTTCAAAAGTCAGTAAAACTTTCTTAAAAAATTAAAGTCGAGGCATTGTGTGAGAAGACATACTTTAACAAACAGTCTAGCAACATGCCGGCCATTTTTAAAGATGGCGATCAAACGACCATGATCTGGACCACGTGACTAATGTTTTTTAAGCTCGTTCGTATAGGTGTTTAATATATATATATATATATATATATATATATATATATATATAACATAAGACACACACGAGCTATATATATATATATTAACATAAGACACACACGAGCTAGGTAGCAAAAGGACTACGTAGACTCCAGACAAGGGACACGATAAAACACAGAAAACAGATATCACAGTGCGTTTTGTTAAAAAGACGGCACTTCGAGAGAGGCTGTTTATTCCAAAGGTTTTGACCTGGTATCGTCGAGTGCTACCTTGGCCGTCTCCCCGCAGCCAAGGGCCGCCCATCTTCGGAGCTCTTCCCTCTTTGCTTGGTCCTTGGTCTATTAATCGATTCATTAGTACAAGGCCAGGGAAAGCGGGTATTCCTGCCTACTCGCTCAAGACGGTCTTCCAAGCGAGCGCCAATCGCTATATCCCGAATTACGGGATCAGTTTGGGACAGAAACTGGATCTCCGCTTTTAGGGTTACCGAGGACACCAAAACCTCTAGCCTCGGGATACCTACTAGATGGCGTCTGCGACAGCTTATTTGACAGCGATAAAGTTCTTCATCACGCCATAATTACCGCAAATAACAGAAGTCGAATGTTATCCCACGTAGAAATAACACGATACCACGAAGATGTTAACCAAATCCAATCAGGAAATAACCCCAATACGGCAAACGATACGCCACCGGCACCAGCCAAACAGCTGCATACAATTAGTTATATTAGAAATCACGAATCCCTTCGAAATAGTCCGCAAAGATTATTTTAAAAATAGAACTCACCCCTTAACAACGAAGGGCAAAGCCACATCTACTGGCCAAACTAATCCTCTTTAAATCTCGAAACGGTATACGTTCTCCAAAATATACGTCGGTAGAAACTTATCCTAACGATATTTCACGTATGACTCCCTCCAATCAATGTAAAACTGGTAGATGACCACTGAACAATTCAGAACAATTGATTTTACACGAGGTCGAGGACAGTAATCACCAACAGCAGTTGTTACTTCTACAGCTTACAACGAAATGAACGAATTTCCAGTCTAAAATGCATGCGCAGACAAAACCGAATGCCTACCACGAATGAGGTTACAGTAAACCAACACAGTAAAATATAATTCCCCAAAAATGACATACAATTTCCCACGTTACAAGTAAAGCAACCCGTTGGCAGAAGATTGCGGCAAGTGGAATATGTTGCGCACCACTACCCGTAGCTCTTGGTCGCTTTGACGTAGTACAGCGGCTGTCGGGGCTGCTAAGACGAGCCGGTACAGGTAGTGCGGGACCAGGTATTTGGAGATCAACTATACCTTTTGGTGTGGCTTTAGCTTCAGCCGTCTTACCCGGCTGAGCGTTTCTGCCAGACGTTCGGGCAGGCACTTCGGCGCCGATACCTTCATACATAGCCCCTGTAGGTACCGCTTCAACTCCTCGATCTGATCCTAAGCCCGCGATACTGTGCTCGGGACCAAGATTATGTCATGGCAAAGGCTAAACAAGCGACCGTTGTATCACCACTGAGAGTGTACCCGGGTTGACTTTCCAGCGTACACAGAAAGGGCTCCAAAACTGTGTTAAAGAGCAACGTGGAAAGAGGGCCGCCCTGCTTTACCCCACGCTCGAACGTAATCGCTACGCTTTGGTCGCATTTTATATTTGTTTCCACATCTCTGTATGCCTCGTCTACCATACGTATCACCTGTTCTGGTAGACCCTTCTTCTTACGTAGTGCAGGTCCCAGTGGTCCGTGAGGCACTGTGTCGAGGGCTTTACTAATATCTCCCTGCACTACTACCAATGACCTTCAAGTGCCGCAGCAACTCGTTAAGGACGTGGACGTTATTGAAGCACCCCGCTCCGCCACGAACCCTTTTGCCAGGGTGTGAACTGCAGGTGCTTGCGCAATTTCTTGTCGATTATACCCCAGTACAACCGGCTCAGAAGCGACGATATGGTAAGAGGCCGGTAGTTCTCGACTAACGTACCGTCCTTACCTGCCTTAGGAATTAGCAGCGTACGATTCATCCTCCACTGTCTCGGTTGTCGTCCTGTGCACAAGATGAAATTGAACAGGAGACGGAGGACTTCTTGGCGTTCCTCGGATCAGACGTGAGCCACCTTCACGCCGTCCGGCCCTGTGCTCGTGGACTCTTAAGTCGCGCGATCCGTGCTCGGATTTCTGGCAACGTTATGGGTGTGAGGACCTCAGCGACTGTCTTTGTTGCCTCATCACCCGTATTGCGCAACTCCTCAGGTAACTGTACGGACGGCTTAGGACCTCATAGACTAGTGTACAGTTCCTGGACGTCCGCGGCATTAAGCTTTTCGACCCCACCGTCAAGTCAGTCCACCCGCTCACGGACGTGTTTGGCCAGTAGCCCTGGATTTTTCTTATATAGGTCCTGAGTCCTCTCGAATAGATAGCGCCGTTTGCTATGTCGCGAACGACTCTTTGGGACGACGCTTCCCCTCCTCATTCTCACTAGCCGCGGGGGCGACTATGTGAGCCGAAGCCAGCTCGTGGATCGTGCCTTGGAGCTGGGGTGTCTCCTCATTTTGGTCCACCAACTTCTGGAGGGCATCCCGCAGCATGACAAGTGCCGCTTCAGGCTCCCCTGGAATCGCCTTCGACTTTAGGGGTCGCTCGGTCAGCAGGGTTCGCAACTGATTTTAGCAAAAAATAGAGACTTGGTCTCTAATTACATATTTAAAAATAGAGACCATTTAGAGACCTTCGAGAACCAATTTCCATACAAAATTAAGCAAAAAATATTTATTTTGTAATATATGAGATACATAAAAAGCAATATCTAAACAAGTATAAATTGTGCACAACTCTTGTGAGGATAAAACGCATTTTTTTTAACCCAAATAGCTTTTTTTTGACATCACCAATGGATATATTTCTTGCAGACGTCCCAATGGCCCTTTGTGAGTACCCTCTTCCGACAATCCGTTCTCGAGGTATAAGGGAATATACCCGATCGCGATAAGAGGTCGAGGAGGAGGGCTATGGTTGGTAAAAATTAAGTCCTTTCGTTGAGACCTTTCATTAGAGTACCATGAAGGATAAAACTATTCCCCCCCCTGCCCCTCCACACCCTACTTTGATAAGAGGACAGAAAGAAGAGCAGTAGTTGGTAGAAAACGGTTGATTCGTTGAGACCAATTGGTTGTCGTATGTAAAAGTTATGTACGTTTTACTTTCAAAAACAGCATCTCAGGAAATAATTCGTGTGGGGGGCGGGGCCCTTTTAGACAGCGAAATTTGGTGGCCGTCTGGCACACCTTCAAAGTATAGGCTACCTACGGCAAAGAATTCCAGGACTACCTACCATTCTCCTAGAAGTAGTTCGAAACGGCAGAAGTGGGTCCGGACGGACAAAACGCATTTTTTTTAATTCTTAAAAAATGCGCTAAAAATGTAACATTTCTGCGGTTTATCAATTATGAATTATACTTTTTTAACATGCAAAATTTAGAGACTTTAGAGACTAAATATGAAAAATAGAGACTTTTAGAGACCAGCATTGAAAAAAGAGACCAATGTCTAAAAACGAGACCATTTGCGAACCCTGGGTCAGGACTGTCTCTGATCCCTTTGCGCCATTCCGCCCCGTCATGGTTACTTTGCGGTATGGTCGGGGAGTCCACGGCACCTTCTGGAGTAGGGGGTGTCGGTACCCTTTCGGGTACCTCTTGTCCATTCGCGTTGAAGGAAAAAGACTGCTCGGATGACGGGCGCGTGGGTTCTGGGTCAGCCAACCCTTCTTCCACCGCGCCCTAGGCCTGCTCCGTATGCGCTCTGGTTGTCAATCTCAGGGATACCAGCAGATGCAGGATTGGCCCGTACTGCTGATGTTCTCGAGGACCCTTCCTATCCTCCTGGGGATTGCCTTGTCGCCGTGCCACTGCACGTCTAGCTCCAGCATGGTCGCAACCTCATCAGTGCTGAGCTGGGGGCCCCCTAACTCCCTAAGGATTGCAAGTTGTTCCGCGTCCATCGCAGTGACAGCAGCCCTGACTTCGCCGGGACCACCTTCGATCGGGGCTCCGACTACACCCGACCTTCTCGCATTGGTGATCTCTCTGTGAGCTTGCCATGTATGTGCCGCGCAGTTCTTCGCGGACTTGAACATCGCCCCGCAGTAGTCGCACCTAACTACTCCATCATATGTCGATTCGGGGTCGCCGGCCTAAGTAACCACCTTACATTTAGGTAGGTGGCATCTGACACCATGTAATTTTGGGAACGACCGTTGACACTTGGAGCAAACGTATTGCGGGGCTCTCCGGTGAGCTTTCCGGCAGCATCTAACCGCATCGTTCTCTGTGAGCGCTGAGTACCACGTCCTGTTTGGAGATATAACGGACAGGACGTTGGCTGAAATGGGTACTCGATCCGAAATTCATTGCCCCTTTCGTCGTCAGAGGTCATCGTCCATGCTCCCCTTTATCCGCTCGTTTAGCCACCTCCTTTATAGT